TATATTAAATTTTAATGAAAAAAAAATTATTATGTAATGAAAAGATTAACATTTTAAATAAAAAAGAACATAAGAATTAGGATAATTGATTAACTCGCCTTATCGACATTTACCTCTTCCACCACATTATTTTCAGACATTTGAACATCAGTAGAACCTTGACCCTATTGTTGTGAGAATAAAAATGAAAAAAAAAAAGATAATTAAAACATCATCAGCAGGTAAAATCCCTAAAGCATTTTTTTTTAATACCTTATCCATTCTGATATATAAGTTATAAATTTGAATGAGAGCAATTAGTATCTAAGAAAAGATTAACATTTTAAACGAAAAGAAACATAAGATTTAGGATAATTGAATAATTCGCCTTAACAACATTTGCCTCTTCCACCACATTATTTACAGAAGTTGTAACATCATCAGAACATTGACCCTATTGTTGAGAAAATAAAAATGAAAAAAAAAAAAACATAATTAAGTAGGGACTAGTTAATGTTAATCTACTTAGAAAAAAGGAAAAAAAAAATAATTTGCCTTATGAACATTAACTAATTGATCAATATTTAACACAACAACCTATGCGTCAGAATCTTGAACATTATTATAAAAGAAAACATAAAAATAAGGTTAATTGAATAACTCGCCTTATCAACATTTGCCTCTTCAACCAAATTGGTTTCAGAAGTTAAACCATCAGCAGAACTTTGACCCTATTTTTGTAAAAATATAAAATTGAAAAAAAAATATTAAGCAAGTATTTGTTAATATTTATATACTTAATAGAAAAACAAAAAATTAACTTGCCTTATAGACATTAGCTAATTGATAAAGATTTAACACAATATTTTCAACTATATCACAAACCTAAAGGATATCATAATCACTAACATTAAGATGAGTAAGATGAATGATTTTTTAAAAATAAGGTATAACATTAAAAATAAAAAGAAAAAAAACCCAAAAGAAACATAGATTAAACAAATCTTGTCACTGAAAACAACATCCTCCTCATCAGAATCTTAAACATCAACTCCAGGAGATTGAGAGATAATAACTTTGTCACAATTTGAATCAAAAAATTTCTCCTGATCACCAGCCTGAATAAAAATAATTTTTTTTAGAAAAACTGTAATGTGAATTATTAATAAACACATATCAAAACCCATTGGAGAACAATGAAAAAGAAGAATTAATTGAAAGCAATACACTATATAACGTGCCTTACAACCATCATCACAGTCGGGAATATGTATTTGATTAATATGAACCTGTGCACCACTTTAAAACATATCAGTGTGAAACTCCTTGCACTGACCATCATCAACATTCACATTATTATCCATCATGCCACGCAATTCCTTTAAAAAAAAAGAAGCAAAAGTATAAGATATATAAAAATTAACATAATATGAAAAACAAAAATAACCAAAATTATAGGATCATCTGATGAAATAAAATGAATAGTAAAGATAAATAAAAACTTTACCTTCAACGTAGAGTGAACAACTTTGAACTCTTCAAACACTTTTGCAGAGAAATTGTGAAATAAAAGCTTCAGGCTATTAAAATCAGCTTGTAATTGCAACTGACCGGACACAAGATTACGTATTTGTTCATCAAAGTTGTTCGAAGTCGAAGGTGAAAAACTATCATTATGCCTCACATCTTCGTGACGAATGAATGCGTTATTTTTATTAAAGAAATTATCCAAATGAAGCCTTTCGATCTCTTCCACGGTTGGAACAATATTTGAGAACTATATATATA